GAAAATATGAAAGGATTCCCGCAGGTAATAAGGAACATATAGCCGGTTGCAAGGGTTCACTTTTTTTTGGACCACCCTGTATTCCTGTATAGCCGCCAAACCTTTTGCCATGACAATTTTATGACGTCATCGGGACGTCATGTTTCATTTCTTCCTAATTTCACTTGCACACAGACACGTGGCGTCATTGATATAACGTAGCCATGATATAAAAGTATGTAATACAACAGTTATGTCCGTATCATTGAATATATGCCTTCGGTCTGTCGTAATATAACCCTCGCAAGCTCGGGCTATATTGGTGACAGACCTTAGGCATATATTCAATGATAGGGACATAACTGCTAATAACAGAATGTCGTCATCGTGGGTTTTCAGTACATCAAAAGTTCCGCGGATTACATATAATATATAGTACTAGTCAAATATTTTCTGATACGCGCTCTGATGATCTTGTGGAAAACACAAAACACACAGGGCATGCCCTTGGACTTAAAGCCCCCGATAAATCGGGCTACGTATACCGCCGTGTTTACATTAGGGGATTAGAAGAGTTTATTTTTACTTTAGGTATGCAAGCAATATCAATATTAGGCCTTCATGCATGTACTCGTGTGTACAATCAGTATTCCCTTCAATATTATATAAGCCAGGCTATTCAAGTACAACATAATGTACACTATTTATGTGTGTACTACAGGGCGTCCACAAAAAAACTATACCCAACTTCAAAGCCAGGATATTAAAATTCTGAGCATTTTAAAAAAAATACAAAGGTAGCAGTAAAAGGCCTATTTTGTTCTCCATCCAATGGCACCTAGATCATTATGTAACTGTCATTGATGACTGAGCAATCGTGACTTTTATGAAAGGTGGTAAAATCAGCACTGTGCCAAGTTAGCATTCAAGTAAGAATGACAAAGTGGATGTTTTTTATGTTCAAAACATTATTAATGTTCAAATTCAAACTTGTTTCGTGTTCTTCACACATTTACATAATTTTCCATAACTTTTTGTTTGTACCTCCCTCTCAAGAAATTGCATTCAAAGAGCCTTTTGATCAGCAATGAAACTTCTACTTGATGATATGCAGCTTTGAAGTCAATTGTACCCCATGTAAAGGCAATAACCCTTTTCGAAATCCTCATTTTCTGAGAAGAACTCAAATTTATTGAGTTTAAACAAGTATATTCATATGGGACAGTATTGCTAGAATCTATTTTAATAGTAAGAATAGGGGTTCTATAAACAGTACATGAGACTTGCTTTTTAGAACTTTTTGTTGGTTCTTACTACTCAGGTGTCAGTTGAACCATTTTTGCAGGCCTATTTTAGAAGTAAAGCCTTTTGTCAAACCTTTTTTCATATGAGAGTTACTCAGTCCCAAGTCCTGTTCAGTATGGAAGGCCTGTCATCTAACTTATTGTAACAGAAAAAAGAATAATAAGCTAATTACACATCAATTGCCACACAGGAAGGTAACTTGGCACAGTGCTAATTTTACCACCTCCCATAATGGTCAAGATTGCTCAGTCAAACATAACAGTTACATGATGATCTTGGTACCATTTGATGGAGAATAAATCAGGCTTTTTACTACTACCTTTGTATTTAACAAAACTGCTCAGAATTCTAGTAATTTGGTTTTAAAGTTGGGTATACTTTTTTTGTGGACGCCCTGTACATTGGAAAACATTTCCCTGGGAAACAAAACACAAATACTTTTTATATGTTCAAAATGAGCAATTTGATTGATGCATACACTTAATACCTTCATATATAAACATCTACAAAGTATATCTAATAGTCATTTTCAATTCCAATGGTGAAACTTGCCTGGTTACGATTATACGGGAAATCAACACGGCACGATAGTTGTACACCTTCCTGGCTTACCTCTGAAGCCTGTACCCTGTAATCTCTTTGTATAGCTTAGCGAGAGCGCTGCGCCTGCGCAGTTTTAAATTTTGGCGCACACTTTAAGGAGGGGGGGGGGGGGGGGCTGAGCATCCCCGCCAAAATTTAAAAAACAATGGCCAGTTTTGCCAGTTTGTTATCTAAATTGCCCAGCTTATGTGGGGAAGAGCAGGTTTTCTTTAATTTTCTGATAAATAACAGTTACAAGGAAAGAATAAGGCAAGCTATGTGGTTGATCGAAGCATCCTATAGCTCCCATATTAAACTTATCTACCTAATTGAACATTAAGCTGTCGCCAGTCGAAATAGTAAATATGGATGATGACAATACACACGAGTCCATTGCCCAATTGACCATATACAATAATTTATACTATTTTTTATTAACCCTTTATGATATGAACTATTCCTGTACTACCCTCATTTCACAGGTCAAACCTAATCTAAACATTCGTACTTGATGTGCGTATTATTTAACGATTTTTGAACCCCAACAGAAGATAACCGAAAATAACCCCAACCCTTAAGCAACACTAACCCTAACTATAACCCTAAAATCCGGGCTAAAATCCAACCAGGAAGAATCGGAAATTTACTGCTCGGCCATACGCCTAATCTAAACGCTTCTTTGGAATTACCTTGATTTATTTTATTTCATAATCTTGATGAACACGATATAAATGATGATGGATAAGTTTTGATCAACAATTTTAGATTATTCGATAGATCTTCATTGATGCCTTTTCGAATGAGTAATAATCATTGTCTGGTGAACCGATTGAAGATCCCCAGTGTCTCCATGAGACACACGTAGCACGCTGAGGACAAAGTGGCCCTTTCGCGTAGATGCTAAATAGATTAGCCAAACGACAGTAACGATACCACCAAGCGCCTTCAAACGCTAAAGCACAATTTAAAGTTTCACTTTCATCATTATCAGAGTCATATGTAGAGAACTGTTGGCTATTGTGAAATATCATGCTGTCATTCATAGTCCCAGTAAAACCTCCAATGGTTAGCCGATATTTGTCAGATCTGTCAATTTGAAAGATCGAATACTCGGCAAACTTTGCTTCACTTGATGGACCTGGCCACATTGCGAGGTCGATCCGAACTTTATAGTTCCTCTGCGTCAATACACTTGCGAGGTTATCAAGTCCGATAAAATGCTCTTTTCCTGGATACCCGAAGCCATGCTGATATTCAGTCCATGAACGATTGAAGTCTTCCGTGCCGTCGAATCGTTTGAAGATATACATCCAGCCCTGGTCGCAATAGGCACTGAATATTCGGCCCTCTTTTGTTTTTATGTTTCTTACACCAGTGAATGATGGATCAGGATTACAGTCCTCAACATATCTATCTGCAATTAAAACGACATTTACATCATTTACACATTGTTTCGCTTATTACAGTAATGATAAAGAATTGTTTCGCTTATTACAGTAATGATGAAGAATGTATTTATAAATTATACCAATTAATGTTGAGCATTTTGAAGGGCGGTGTTTCACATCAATTGGTGTATTTGAAGACAGACTGGAAATAGTATAACTCTTTCTGACGTGTGCGTATAAACATGGTGATTCACATTAATTTTTGCTCTAGAACTTTATTATATTCAAATCAAAGGTGAAATAGGACATGATGACCAACCTATGCAACGATTACCATCAGATTTGGGAATTACTTTTCCAATTTAGATGGGATCTTCGTGTACTGTGGTATTTAAGGTTCAGTTATACACTTTGCATAATTAGAGCGTTAATTAGAGAATGAGAGCGATCGCATTTTCTGTCTTGATTTATTCTATTTGTGTCTTGGAAAGTCCAAAATGGAATTCGAAAGAATTGAAAATTGGTTGCAAATATAATTATAATATTACGAACTTTTCAGACTGATTTAAACTAGAACTTCACTTACGGAGTCCCATTTGTTCGTTAAAATCCGTTCCTGTATATTCATTCAGCACTCAGTTTTAAGGGACAATATAAAAAAACAATTGAATGGAATGCAGAAAAGAATTTAAACAAAAGTCTACTCACCACTGTGATCATGTCCATTGTTTGTACATTCATCCAAACTCTCTTCAATTGTTTCCTTTATTTCATTCTTCACCTCTGCAAGGCAAATGTCCACCTCACTATGTGCTCTAACAGCAACAACAAGAGCAATCAAAATTGTGAACTTCATTTTGAGAATTGATAGATCAGTATAAGTTGAGTCCAGGCTTTTACTGTTATTTTATACATCTATAATCCAGGGCTATAACATTTCATTTAACAAATTGGAAAATACCTGGAGATTGATGTAAGATTTAATAATTTGCCATTCGTGAAACATTACTCAAAATGATCTAATTCTAAAATGATATAAATGAATTATGATTTAATAATTGGCGGTGCGTAAACATTGACTCAATATGATTGAAGCAGTGAACCGAATTAAAAATGATGGATTGTGTAATATTGCGGGGCTAAACAAATCTTCACAATTTGCGTAATTCAGTTGGAATATTATTTATAAACATGTCATGGAGAGAGTTTACAAAATTAAACGTTCCAAACTCGTAAATAAATCTGACTCAAATCGTTTTATTTTTACTGTTAATAACCAATCCATTTTGTTTTCTTCTTCTTGACAACTGATGCAAACATCTAAAATTCATTCACATTTATTTGCGTTTGAGCAAAGCGACATTAGCAAATAAATGATTTCTTTCCCATGTTTTGGTCCACCCTGTATAAACCTAAAACTCGATCCAATATCGTCATCCGTACTATATTCTCACCAAAACTTTTTTAAAGGCCCTTAATTTGAAGCCAAATTATCAGGAAAATTGGCCTTAATTTTTTTTAAGTTTGGCCCACTTTTTGGTTGCTGGATCCGCCCCTGATTTTTATTGCCTTCTTTGTTGTTTATATTGAGTTATTGAATAATGGACAATAACACATCCATTGTTTTTACAACTTTACAGACTTATCTCTTACACTCCACGCCATTAGGAATACGTGTACGTGAACTCAATCTCGTTTTGTGCATGGTTTCTAGTTGAGACTTAATTATGAGAGTTGAATGTAAGGGGAGGTTTAGAATTAGGTTACACTGCATGATCAAAACTCAAAGTTTCCATTGAAGTTTTTGCTGCTGTGAAATATGAGATGCATCATTTCCAAACATAAATACGAGGTTTAGAATTGCCTTTTTTGTTAATTTTTAAACTTCTTGTTCATTATCTTAGGAACGCTATATGATGTCTACAGAATTGATATGACATGCATATGACACAATAGTCTTGGAATACTGGAGATTTACTTACGTGCATAAACTGAACATCATGAAAATGCAGAATTTCCAGATTTTGAGATTAATTTTACTTCTTAATATACCGCAGTGCTGGTCAATTTTCACAACAACCGGTAAGTGTAAGTAAGGATGTGTTTAAAAGGAGTTAAGCCAAAATACTTCATGAGATGTTGGTGATTTCTTGTATGAGCTTCTTGTTTTAAGTCAGCATAACTAAATGGTTTAAGCCCATACTCTCTTAGCAGGCGGAAAAAATTGAATGCAGTTCGTAGAGTCTCCATATGAAGCAAAGCATTAAGAAATATTATTAATTTAATTGAAAAAACAAAAAATCCAATCCGGTTTTTTGCAAGTTCAATTTTCCCTCTTTACCATACTAGTGCTAGGTGTAACATAGTGAAAATTAAGAAATGATAGTCATATGTCTGTTCTACGGTAACAGATACAATAGCAATTGTAACCAAGTTGCAGGTGAAACCCTCCGTTTAATTTTCCAGTGGTTAACACATGCACTGCCAGCTGGCAATATAGAGGAAGTAAGGCTAGTCTCTCTTGTATGTAACCTAACCTACCGCATCTTTTTCCAGTGGGTGACACATGTACTGCCGACTGGCAATATAGAGGTAGCCTTGGGGAAGACAAATGGAGCACATTCTGCCCTCAGTGCAAGGCTAACATGCAGAGTCCCATATACATTAAAGGCTCGTCTCTCTTGTATGTAACCTAACCTACCGTGTCTTTTCCAGTGGGTAACACATGTTCTGCCGACTGGCAATATAGAGGTAGCCTTGGGGAAGACAAATGGAGCACATTCTGCCCTCAGTGCAAGGCTAACATGCAAAGTCCCATAGACATTAAAGGCTAGTCTCTCTTGTATGTAACCTAACCTACCGCATCTTTTCCAGTGGGTGACACATGTACTGCCGACTGGCAATACAGAGGTAGCCTTGGCGAAGACAAATGGAGCATAGTATGTCCACAATGCAAGTCTAACATGCAGAGTCCCATAGACATTAAAGTCTCATCTCTCTTGTATGCACCCAACTTGGACCTGCTATCTATGGAGAACTACGATAGCATGAGAGATATACAAGTAACAAATATTGGAAGATCAGGTATGATTGAATAGCCAATTGCAAACAGGTTGGATGATGTTGAAGTGGTATTGCAAAAGGTATAACAAGGCATTATCATGCAAAATGTCACCACCTGCCATTTGACACAGACGCTGAAAACCAACCGCCGAGCACCAACCGCCGATCACCTAGTACCGTCTTAGACTATAACAATAAGTCACTGCTAGAAGTGGTGACACAAAAAGTTACTTTTCAGTGGTAAATATACAAGACATCTATAATTTCCTCAACTTTTGAATTACTTAAAAATAGAACTTCAAATTTCTACCCAATGTGTATGTCATTTTTAGGTTCACGTAGTTCATTTCATACCTGATTTTCATATTTAAGTTTTGTGCAAAAAAAACAAATATACCAAGGTTACTAAGTGAGGGTCAATAATTTCGAAAATAGGCGCTTTAGTGACCTCGTTTTTAGATGTAACAGGATCTTAAGAGGTTCTGGACAAATCATTTGATTCTGGACTTGTCATATTTTTTTTCAACGAAATCACATCCAAGGGTTGAATTTTTATTAGCTATTTAGAGAGTGAGTCCTGCCTAGTATTAATTTCAATAAAAAAGTTAAAATAGAACCCTATTTGAGAGTCGATCTAATACTTACATTACATTGATAAATTAAGGCAAATCCTGAAATATTTTTAAAGTGCATTTTTTTATGAAATATTATCCAGCAAGTATTTAAATGAAACGGTCTTATTTAAATACAAATCATAACATGATATTTTTCATGAAACATTTTTCAATAAAATTCAATTGAAGGGTCAAGATAAAACGAGCTAATTTAGGTGAAAACCCTTACATGATGATGTGTTTTCATAACTTCTTTCATAAAATTCCATCAAGGGGTGAAGATAAAATGATCGAATTTAAGTGATTTAAGGATCACGAGAATATGTTTTCTTTGATATTTTCTATGAAATCCCATCCAATGGTCAAGGTAAAATTTTGATTTTGATTTTGATTTGGTCACGTGTTCGAAAGATCCATATAAGGCCCATAGAACCATATAGGAACGTCATTTTGAATGTCACGTGATAGATCCATATAAGGCTTTTAGAACCATTTATGGAAAGATGAGGGAAGCCCCTGACACATGTTTCACGATTTGTATGCACTTCATTATTGTACCGAAGTTTGCCGATTCGATTCGTCGTATTTCGGAATCCTGGTGACAATTTTATACTCCATTGGAGTATTTTTGACCTACTTCTTATGACGGAAATTCCCGAACCTTGTTCGGATTAATCCGGATTTTCTGACCTACCTTATCTACCGAGATTTCACGAGTTAACATTCGTCTCATTCCGGAATCCTGGTGACAATTTTATACTCCATTGGAGTATTTTTGATCTACTTTTTCTGGATTTTGCCCTACTTATTATATCTTGACAACAAGCAAATCAAAAAGTTCGACATGAACGGGTCTCGATCAACTAACCTAGACTATGGAAGCCAGGCACGCTATCCATTAGGCCAACGAGCTACCGATATGAAAGAACAAAAGTATTATATATTTATACCGAGCGTCAATTCAAAATGATCCTCACTTTTGTCTCCACTTAAATACGACTCGTCAGTTGTATCCAGAATAGTAGAACGCCTACGGCGCTAGTGAATAACCAAGTCCCAGGTGAGTGGTTCGTATCCCTCCGTGATATACTATTTTTGTTTTATTAAATATGACAGAAAGGAGCAAGGTGTAGGTTGAAAACAAGACGTTAGTTTGTTTCAAAACAGTTTGGAAACATTAATCTCTGATAATTTAAGGTTTTCCACTCCTGAAGGGCCTCTAGATCTATGAAATTCAATAATCCACTCAGTAAAAATACGATTTCTCTGCAACCTGATGTCCAATCAAGATCATTCAAATATATATGTGTTCCTGACACGTTTGGGCGTCCGGGAATAAAATTGCTTGTGACAACTATTTACAAAAGTGTTCCAGAGACCCTTATCTACTTGGCTAAGGTTTTATTTGAAGATACATTGCCTTATTAGCAGGTAGAGGGGCATACAGAACACAGAAGCAAATGCTATGTTGAAAATTTTCTATATTTCAATTTGAACCTGTGTTTACATGTCACGTAGGCCAGTGTTTTATATGGGGATTATATGTACTTTCCTTGTTTACATGAACGTAAATCATTGCATGAAATCTGCATTCTTCTGGGTTTAATCTGGGTTTGTATTGTCTTATTGGGGCTTTTCGACTTTAAAACAAACCCTACCTAAATGGATTGTGTCTCGGGAACGTTTTTGTAAATAGTTATTATAAACAATTCTGAAAGAATATCACATATTTTTGTCTTCCCGATTTCAGTCATGAATTACGTCAATTTCTCGTGCAAACATTGGGTAGACGTTGTCATAACCGGATGCCCGAACGTGTCAGGAACATATAGATACTCGAATGATGTTGATTGAACATCAGGGTTGAGAGAAATCGTAATTTTACTGAGTGGCTTCACGAAAAAATAATCAGCACTTTAGGCCACCTAAATACAACTCGTCAGTTGTATCCAGTTGGAATCCCAGCGTAATGTTTTTAATTATATGCTTGTGCTTTGATTTTACGCTGAAAACATTTATAACTACGTCAACTTTATATTAAAACATTTATTATCTTTTCAGTTGTATTAAAATGTAAAATATGATATATGTCAGCTTATTGCTTTCTGGAGAACAGTCAAGGTTTAAATTTGGTACAATGAATCGGACACTCATGTAAATCGACATGGTTACAACATTGAACTCAATGCAGTAAATTAGTTATTTCTATGAATCACAGCGGGATTGGTTTCATTTTATATGATTGCCAACTCTGGCGGTTTTTTTGTAAATGCTTTTGACCGCTGTAAATGTGAAACTGATACAGTATTATTCAATTGTTTTATGTCTTGGTCACATTTGCTCCGATTTTCACTACGGCGCCCGGCCGATTGAGTATTGTGTTCAGAAATGTATTCAATTTTGAACAAAATACTCGCAGCAAATGTGATCCAGGCATTACACAGCGGTATTTCGAACATACTATTGTTGCTTAACCACGACCTAGCCAATTTTAAAATCATACTCCTTATTTAAATCCGAGTAAACGATCAATGTCTAGGTATTTGGCGTTTGATGATACTATGGCCCTTGGCGAATTATGATTAGATGAACCGAGGTCAGCATTAATGTTTCTTGTACAAGGTCATCCCAAGGTCTAAGATAAATATTTAGGTATTTTACGTTTCAAGACCTTTGGACAAATTCGATTCAACGATGTATTAAAGTTAAAATGTATACAGAGATAAAATAGGTTATCTCCTATCGTTTCCTTGTGTATACGTTTATGTCTCTGCGTAATAACGCAGATGCGAGCAGGTAGTTACCAATCTCACCACAAGGTGGCTCGTTCGGGTCAGATAGCATGGCGGGTATGGTAGAAAGTTCCCTTTAACTTAAAGTACATCTGTTTTCGTGGTTCAATTTTCATATCACCCTTAAAATGTATCTAATAGCAATGCAATTAAAATATGTCCAGTGAACGAAAATGCAATACAATAGATATTTCACTTTTTGTGATTTTGTAACAATGTGGTTATTTTTTGTATATGTAACATGGTCATTTTCACATTTTATATTATTACTGTTCATATTAATCAATCCCTATTCATCTCAATATAACAGGTCCCTAAGTAGGTTGTTTGCAGTTTAACTCTTTTAATACCATGTTCACTTTTCACCTTGAGTTATTCAACTATGCAAACTGTGTCAGTTTTATATATCTATTGTTCCCCTATATGGTCTTTCTCACTCACATGTAGCTGAGTTTGCATTGGATGTTGGCTTGTCAGTAGTTGCTGTAAGAGTTCATGTTGTACATTACAGAGCATTGTATTTTAAACATTGAAGTTTGAAATATACTATTTTATGTATATTTTAATTTGAAGTTCGAGTTATTTTATTGCCACCCACGGGCCTTCCACACGCCCATTTACATATAACGCTTTGAAACAACTTTAAAAAGTGAGCAATGTCAGTGTTGTGATAATAGAGAATTTTCGTTATAAGTTGTTTCAAAAACTTATACGTATAGTTATAGTTTAAAGGGTCTTGTCGAACTAAAATCAATTCAAATTGATTTTCATAATCTGTACCAAGTGGGGCATAACTATTCCCGATATAGTCAAGCTTCATCATCAACTAGGGACTGCGAATACAATGTCCTTTGCTAGTGTCAATTATGAACACGATAAACTAAATTCTAGTTGACGGGTCCTTGTAGTGTACGATAAACAAGACCCTTTAAAGTGAATCACTACACGAACGAGTCGATCATTTTAAAGTTCTCATGAAATTATAAGGTCAATTTTTAAGTTTTTACGTATAAAAGGGCCTTTATACGCTGATTATAAACTTACAGAGTTGGATCTCCGCATAGTATATGTGTGGACCTACTGACCAGAATGGCTTATTAAAATTAATCGGCTGAATAGGCATAGTATCCAATCAAATAGCTCGACTCATTCATTAGCTGAACTAATTCTCCCTTCGTTATTTCTACAAGGTGATTCAAAACGATCATCTACAAAAAATATATTTGAGAGTAGATAAATCTGTAAAACCCGTGTGCTATATCAGCCTATTTGATTCTAGAAAACACATATGACACAACTAAACATGCTTTACATCAAGGGGGTACGGATGGTATGCCATTGGCCCTTTTTATTACCGTCCTAGGAGATATTTCCCGACGAATTAGGAAATTATGAAACACCTTGTTTATTGGGTTTATAAGTATAAGTATACGTATAAGTTTTTAAAAAACTTATAACGAAAATTCTCTAATAACGCCCCTCATACCTATTTATTACAGGTCGTGTAGACCATTGTTGCCTGATTTATAGCAAAAACATTGACTTTTGCACGTTGATGATGATGATGATGATGATGCTCCTTTTATAATAGATCTCATATCTTAGAAGCGTATCAGTTCAAAAAATACTAGAAGACCTTACATATTTTGCCATGCACTGCGCCTATTCATTTGGCAATTCAGTTGTAAATTTTATCTTGAAAAACACAAATCTTCCAAATTTGTTGAGTTTTCTTGCAGAAATCGCCTACCCCCCCCCCCCTCCATCCATTTTGTATGATCACAAGGCGTGATTTAAGCTGCTGATATTCTTCTTTAAACGAGTCGGATTTTCAAAATCTATAAGTTGGACTCCCTTTATAGAAGCTTTGAACTGAATTTGCACTGCTTAATGCTGAAATTTTATTGTTTATCCATACATTTTAAGAAAAAATGTATAAAAAAAGATGTTAAAGCCAAATGTTGCCCTAAAAATTCAGAAAATGTAAAAAATTTCGAATTTTCTATGTACAGGCCTTGTTGCCCCTTTAAGAAGCTTAATGTGTAAATTATCTAATCAAACACTTCGTCCACCATTTAGAAACACTAATCAATCCAATCTGTGCTAGCGATTCATAGGGCGAGCCAGTGGGATATTTCCAGGGTTCATACACACCTGGAAATGTCAGGGAAATTGACTTGATTTTCCAAGTGCCGGAAATGTCAGGTAATTTTAAAATTAGGTCAAAAGGGCCAAAGATGACCGGGAATTTTGAAACGGTAGACATGTCAGGGAAATGTCAGGGAAATTTGTATCAGTGTTGAAAAAATAATGTTCCAGAAATTAATGTTTCCAAACTGTTTTGAAACAAACTAACGTCTTGTTTTCAACCTACACCTTGCTCCTTTCTGTCGTATTTAATAAAACAAAAATAGTATATCACGGAGGGATACGAACCACTCACCTGGGACTTGGTTATTCACTAGCGCCATAGGCGTTCTACTATTCTGGATACAACTGACGAGTCGTATTTAAGTGGAGACAAAAGTGAGGATCATTTTGAATTGACGCTCGGTATAAATATATAACACTTTTGTTCTTTCATATCGGTAGCTCGTTGGCCTCATGGTTAGCGTGCCTGGCTTCCATAGTCTAGGTTAGTTGATCGAGACCCGTTCATGTCGAACTTTTTGATTTGCTTGTTGTCAAGATATAATAAGTAGGGCAAAATCCAGAAAAAGTAGATCAAAAATACTCCAATGGAGTATAAAATTGTCACCAGGATTCCGGAATGAGACGAATGTTAACTCGTGAAATCTCGGTAGATAAGGTAGGTCAGAAAATCCGGATTAATCCGAACAAGTTTCGGGAATTTCCGTCATAAGAAGTAGGTCAAAAATACTCCAATGGAGTATAAAATTGTCACCAGGATTCCGAAATACGACGAATCGAATCGGCAAACTTCGGTACAATAATGAAGTGCATAAAAATCGTGAAACAGGTGTCAGGGGCTTCCCTCATCTTTCCATAAATGGTTCTAAAAGCCTTATATGGATCTATCACGTGACATTCAAAATGACGTTCCTATATGGTTCTATGGGCCTTATATGGATCTTTCGAACACGTGACCAAATCAAAATCAAAATCAAAATTTTACCTTGACCATTGGATGGGCTTTCATAGAAAATATCAAAGAAAACATATTCTCGTGATCCTTAAATCACTTAAATTCGATCATTTTATCTTCACCCCTTGATGGAATTTTATGAAAGAAGTTATGAAAACACATCATCATGTAAGGGTTTTCACCTAAATTAGCTCGTTTTATCTTGACCCTTCAATTGAATTTCATTGAAAAATGTTTCATGAAAAATATCATGTTATGATTTCTATTTAAATAAGACCGTTTCATTTAAATACTTGCTGGATAATATTTCATAAAAAAATGCCCTTTAAAAATATTTCAGGATTTGCCTTAATTTATCAATGTAATGTAAGTATTAGATTGACTCTCAAATAGGGTTCTATTTTAACTTTTTTATTGAAATTAATACTAGGCAGGACTCACTCTCTTAATAGCTAATAAAAATTCAACCCTTGGATGTGATTTCGTTGAAAAAAAATATGACAAGTCCAGAATCAAACGATTTGTCCAGAACCTCTAAAGATCCTGTTATGTACAAAATTGATGTTTATGGCTACCGAAGTTTAATTTTTATTTATATCTAGTATATTTTATCAACCTCAAATTATACCCATCAATTATATGAATATGATAAAAAACAGAGCATTTATCCGAGTGTCGTAAATAATGTGAATGGCCAATTTCAAGTTTACTAACCGTCTTTACATCTTACTGATTAGTACGTCCAATGATTACTTTATCAGTTTAAATGTTCTAATCTTATTTGTAATAATGAAAAATGTCCCGTTTCAGTGATGCTTGATCTGCGGTCTGCCGGGGAATATTGGCTATCTCGAGGCAACTTGCCAGGAAAGTACCTTGCCGATCAGATGCATTTTCACTGGGGATCAGATAGTTCAAGAGGCTCTGATCATCGGGTAGATGGTCGTCAGTTTCCTTTAGAGGTCGGTGTATATACTTTCGAGATAACTTAATGGCAAAGTTGCAAGCGACACATGCAACTGATCTAAATATAGTATGTATTCCCTGCAATCTCAAATATTGTACCCGGCAGCTCCACCATGTGATATTCTATTGTTTCTTTGAAAGCAATTGATCTACCGGCAGCTCCACCATGTGATATTCTATTGTTTCTTTTTATTGACAAACTTAAGTAATTTTGAGTTGAACACTTAGATAATTTTATTTCCTTTAAATCTGGTTTCATGAACATCTATTTTGAATTTTGAATCTATGATCGAGGTACCTCGTGTCTTGCACTTTACATCTGGCTCACATCACCGCGTGGTATCTCAAATTACCAAACAGATGAGACAGGGAAATATCACTCCATAACAGTATCTACCAATTTCAATTTCAATTTATTTATTATACCATCACACAAATAAAGGGTATTAGGCAAAAGTACATACAGTAAATAAGTATATAACAATTAAGTATTTCATAACAAACATATTTACAATTGCTTCCCAGCCTCATTTAGAAACTTACATAATGCTAACAATACTTTACTATCAGATTGTAACAGCTTGGCATATTTAAAAGTACTAAAATATTGGGGTAAATATTGTTTTCTAATGCTTTTAACAGACTTACATTCTAATATAAAATGAAATTCATCTCCTAATGAATTGTTATTACATAGTTCACAAAATCTTCTATTTCTTTCTACATTTCTATACCTACCCCTCTCAATAGGTAATTTTGTGTTGGACATTCTGTATTTTGATAAAATGACTCTATATTTTTGAGGCAGTGAAAATAAGTAGTCTTCAAACTTAAATTCTGTTTTAAAAATTCTATAATTAAAACCTATGTTACTATTACTTACATCATTTTCCCATGATTGCCTGAACTGGTCTTCTAGCCTTAATCGAAAGATCCACGAGATGTCACCAATTGGTTCTCAAGCTTCGTGAGACGGGTGTGAAACATGGTTGTTTAAACAGTTCTTGTTTGTTTCAGATGCACATCGTTTACGATTTGATGGATCAGGTTAAAGACAGGGAGATGATTGCAGCGGTGTCTGTTCTTTTTGAGGTAAAAAGTTCCCCTCCGGGGTTCACTTATCACTCGATGTGTATTTAACGTACATTTTCTTACAATTTGGATTAATGTATGAAACAAGCATGCATTGCTTCAGAAGCAATTGATCAATTTGGTACATTATTGTATGAAACAAGCATACTTGAAAGCAATTGATCACTTTGGTGCATTATTGTATGAAACAAGCATACATCACCTCGAAAGCAGTTGATCAGTTTGGTACATTATTGCATGAAACAAATATACATTGCCTCGAAAGAAATTGATCAATGTTGAACATTATTTTATGAAACAAACATACATCGCCTCGAAAGTAATTGATCAATTGGATATATTATTGTATGAATAAGCATGTATTGTTGCGGAATCATTTGATAAACCCGGTACATTAATCAACTATCGTATCACAGTGCGTATCATAAAATCAAACTGACACCATTTTGGACATAATAGTAGCTGGTAGAGTGCGGTGCTTGGAAAGCATTATCAATTTTGAAAATCATTTCGATCATCTTACAACGATCAATATGACGGTGTGAGGTATATTTGTGTTCTAATGTATAGAATAGATGAATAAACACAAGGAGCACACGCGTATAGTATATCATCTTCTCGCATGTGTAAATATCACATTTTTTTCTTTCCAGGTCTCATCTGAGGATAATGCAGACCTACAGCCACTCATCCAGGCGTTGTCATTAATCAAGACACAGGGACAAAAAACCACTCTTCCATATTTTATGCTATCAAAATTTTTACCTCGGAACTTGAAGCGATTTTATCGTTACTATGGTAGTTTAACGACACCTCCTTGTTTAGAAACGGTCGTATGGACTGTATTCAAAGAGACCGTGAAAGTTTCCGAGAGACAGGTAAGGTTAGGAGGTACAGTAGCTGATCCAGAAGTTGACAAGGGGGGGGGGGGGCAAATTTTCAGTGAGGAATGGGCGGAAAAAAATGTGAGCCCTTAAAAGCAATAATGAAACCAAATAACGCCCAAAAAGGCCCACTTTTTGAGACCCTAAAATATTTGTCTGGGCCCACTACAGGGGGGGGGCATGTATCAATCCATTAATTAAGTTAAGAGATACAAACAGCGCAAACTAAACACTATTGAATACACTAGTAGGTGCGAGTAGAAATAATCTTGATTTACTTCATTAAATCTTCAAAATGATAGGTATCGATATGGAGAACTGAATTCAACAATGTTTTTCTCTTAAGCCGATCATTGAAAACATTCTGTAAAAAACATGGTATTTTATGTAATGTTGACTGATTGACAACAATTTAATGCGAAAATTATTTAGAAATATTTTATATAACTGTTTTTGTTAACATTTTTTGTTTTTTTAGTGCAATTGTTTTTGCTCCTTTCTACCAATTCTTGAGAATGAAATAAAATGTCTTTCCGAACCTTGTTGGAACAAAATAGCATATACAACATGTTTTTAGACCACCCAATATTAAAGCTATACAAAGGAAATTTTGGTTGATTTTAAAAAAGTATTCAAAAAATTAAAACAAAATCTCCCCAAAATAGATAAAAATCAGGAAAAACCTTTTATTTCATTAACAAGATACTTTTTTAAAATCAACCAAAATTTCCTTTGTACAATTACAATATTGAGAGACCTAAACATGTTGTGTTTATGTCGTTTTGTTCCAATGAGGTATCGGAAAGATGTTTCGTTTCACTCTGGAAACATGATACCAAGAACAAAAAAACAAGTGTTTGATGTTTTTTGAAACAATATAGATGAAAGTATGTATATCTATTTCAAATTATATTGTTACCATTCAAAAGATGGCCATTAAATTGACAATTTGTAAGATTTTCAGAAATTTTTGATGACTGGTTTAAGAGAAACGTGTGTTCAAAAAGTTCGCCATATCGATACCCATTCTTTAGTTAAAGGGATATCATATTTGAATTCTACATAAAAAATTGCTATTCTAGAAATGTGGTTTAAAAAAGTATTTACCAACTTTAAAAACTCAGTTTTCTCTGAAAATGTGACTGGAACATGTAGGTCGGGGAGATTCCCCATAGACCCCATGTTACAAAATCACAAAAAGTGAAACATCTTCTTTTGTTGGGCATATAATATTTTCCTTTTATGGACATATTTTAATTTGTACAACTAGCTTCAGTCAGACCGCACGCTCTTCTCTTGCAAGCCCCTTTGGTAAACCCTAAATATGAATGCACAAAAGGTGTAAAAACAGAGAAAAAATGAAACAAGAACAACCCGCGGTACACAACCAAACAAAAGGGAAACAAACCCAAATATCCCCAAACTATGATGAAACATGTAAAGAAACATAAAAATCAATGACGTATAATATATCATTTTGCAGCTTTCTGTGTTCCGATCGCTCACATATAGAGACAATGAAAGTGGACAAAATCGCCAACTAGCAAACAACTTTCGTAAGATTCAGTCATTAAATGGGAGAATAGTGTATAGTACCGAGGACAGATCTGGGGTAACAGCAGGTAGGCAATATAAAATCATCTAAACTAGCATTCGTTTATTTAACCACCGGCTATCGGCTGACAGATTAAACGCTAATGTAGGGCAATTTAAATATGAATAGTAGCAGATACTTTTCATATTCAAATGAATTGTCCATAAAAACAGTGTAATCCGTCAGCCGTCAAATGATTTCGCAAATGCCACTTAGGGTTAAAGTACAGAGTGCATATTTGGTATTTCCGTGTGTAATATCCTATATTTTCTTTTTTGGGGTTGTCACGTTGGCCGAGAGCGCTTGAGCGCCGGCATGTTTGGGCTAGGCGATTGGGCGCCGTAACCACGAGGTTGCGAGTTCGAGACGAATGTGCTCCTTGTGTTTATTCTTTCATCTCACATTACTTATTGTTTTTAGGAGCGTTTGCAGCAATAGGATTAACAGTAGTCATTCTAGTAATTGGACTTGGGGCTTTCTTTGCTTTTGCTTGGCCTAAATACAAAGCAAAGAAAATGCGTGCTGAAGACAAGCAACCAATAGTGGAAACATCAATACAATAGGAATAAACCCTACTAGATGACCAGGTTTTGATTTGACTAGTCTTATTGTAAAATCATTTATACAAAAAATTCAAGTAATAAATCTGATTCATAGCATTTCGTTTAGTGTTTATATATACTAAATTATTTTCTGTATACATAGCTTCTAAAGCTTAAGGACGACGCAAATAGTCTATAGTTGTATCTGTAAAGTGCTCTCATTGTATTTTTAGAGGTTATGTCACTATGACGTGAAATATGCCTGAGTTCTCCCAATATAGGCCGACCTTGGGAGGCTCTATATTTGGGCAAGAACGAAGGCATATTTCACGTCATAGTGACATAACTGATGTATTACATGCCTTTGTTCCCATGGTTACTTTGTATCAATGACGTGACGTCATGATATTATCATGGTTATTAAAGAAATCTAATATCAAAACGAGGTAAGCGGGCTATATCGGGGTAATCGGGCAATATCGGTGGATATAGCTCGCTAACTTTCCCATTGACTTCCATACAAATGCTTCGCTAGGTATGTAATACATCAAAATAGAGTATACAATGTGTGGAAGGCATCGGGGTCTAATATAAACTATATGGATGTGACTCACTCAGAAGAAGTGAGTAGCTCCCATAATACTATCATATTCTTTCGTATTCGGGGGTTCCCCTTAGCCCTCCTATATGGTCATACAAGCCTTATATTGATCTATCACACGACATTCAAAATGGCGGACAAAGGTCAGTTGGATTCCTATATGGACATGTAAGCCTTATATGGATCTAGCACATGGGTACCACGTGATTGAATACGAAGGCTGAACTTTGGGAGATCTCCCCCTTTGGATGTGACTGTTGAGAAATAGGAAGTTACTCTGGTGATGGATGTTACCAAGCAAAACAAGTACTAGTATATGGTTATAAGTTCAGTGTATGACTCATGATATAAATGTACATGAATATTGTAATACAATGAATAAGATTGAATTTATTTAAGAGAATACTTAATAAATTATATCAGAGATTTTATATGTCTCTGATTATATGCATGAAAGGGCTGTACAGTTTACCTTTTAATCCTATTATCTGAGATAAATATACAATAAGACTTTTCGTTATGTACTTTCTGAACTAACAGTTACCCGACATGTCATTGAAAAAATAATTTCCAAGTTAGACCCCGTTTCGTGTTCTATGTGGGATCACAATATATTTTCATCCGACATAAATAAAAAATTCACCAATATATTGAAACTGATCCCTTTTTGTTTACAAAATTGTTTTATTTAGTGACACTGATAGTTAGTGTTTTAACCAATGAAGCATGAATTAACATCATATTTTATGACTTCATTGACTTGACATTTAAAATTGATTGCTTTGTTACATTGACCTATAAATATGACATTGACCACTACATTTTGTCATGAGTAAACTATAGGATATCATTTTGAAGTGTCAAGATTCATTCGTAAAATTAATCCTGCCTTATCCGCGCTAGCGTCCACAAATGCAGATCTGTTCCCACTGGCGGATCAAGAAGCTAACAGGGGGGGGGGGATTTTGAGTCAGGAAGAAGTTTCCGCCAAAAGATTTTGAACCCCTCGAACTAAAATTTGGCCTAAATTTTGAAAATTAAGGGCCCATTTTTGATAATTTCGCATAAAAGGCCAAATTATGTCCTAAAGGCCAAATTTTGAGGCCCTATAAAATGTTGGGGGCCTTAACATTTTTTCTGGGCCCTTAACGGGGGGGAACCCATGCCTCTCCCCTCCCCCTGGATCCGCCAGTGGTTCATATGCACTAAAAATACTGGAATGAATGCATGGACGTTCGATTCTAAAAAACTTACTTCGTTGATTTATCTAAACATTCTATTTTATTAAGAAAATTACAGAACATGGTCATAATTCATTATGGACGAGGTTTGATAAATAAATTTATATAATACGATATATCTTCATGGAAGCCTTTTTGAATGAGTATTGATGATTGTCTGGAGTACCAATCGTAGATCCCCAGTTGTGCCATACAATACAGTTGTGACGTTCTGGACAAACAGGTCCTTTCACATAGAGGCTGAGTAGATTAGATGAAAAGCAACCAGAATACCACCAGGCACCTTTGTGGCGTAACGCACAATTTACAGTTCCATGTGAGTCATTGTCATTGTCATAGGTAGAGAACCGTTGGCCATTATGCGGTGTAAGGCTGTCCCCCATAGTCCCAGAAAAACCTCCAATGGTCAGACGATATTTGTCAGATCTGTTAATTAGAAAGCTTGAATACTCGGCAAACTTTGCTTCACTTGATGGACCTGGCCACATTGCGAGATCGACCCGAACTTTGTAGCTGCCCTGCATCAATACACTTGCGAGGTTATCAAGTCCGATAAAATGTTCCTTTCCGGCATACCCAAACCCATGTTGATATTCAGTCCATGAACGATAGAAGTCCTCCGTGCCGTCAAATCGTTTGAAGATATACATCCAGCCCTGGTCACAATAGGCACTGAATATTCGGCCCTCTTTTGTTTTTATGTTTCTTACACCAGTGAATGATGGATCAGAATTACAGTCCTCAACATATTTTTCTGCAATTAAAACGACATTTACATCATTTACACATTGTTTCGCTTATTACAGTAATGATGAAGAATGTATTTATAAATTGAACTAATAAACAAATTGAATTAATGTTGAGCATTTTGAAGGGCGGTATTTCGCATCAGTTGGTGTATTTGAAGACATATTATAACCCTTTCTGACGCGTGCGTATAAACATCATGGTAATTTTTGCTCTGAACTTTATTATATACAAATCAAAGGTGAAATAGGACATGGTGACCAACCTATGCAACGATTACCATCTGATTTGGGAATTACTTTTCCAATTTTGATGGGATCTTCGTGTACTGTGGTATTTAAAGTTCAGTTTTACACTTTGCATAATTAGAGCATTAATTAGAGCGATCACATTTTCTGTCTTGATTAATTCTATTTTTGTCTTCGAAAGTTCAAAACAGAAATTCGAAAGAATTGGAAATTGGTTGCAAATACTGTATTATTATAATATTATGAACTTTTCACTTCAGATTGATTTTAAATTCGTTTTGTTCCTCTATATTCATTCAGCAATCAGTTTTAAGGGACAATATAAAAAAACAATTGAATGGAATCAGAAAAGAATTTAAACAAAAGTCTACTCACCACTATGACCATGTCCATTGTTTGTACATTCATCCAAACTATCTTCAATTGTTTCCTTTATTTCATTCTTCACCTCTACAAGGCAAATGTCCACCTCACTATGTGCTCTAACAGCAAAAACAAGAGAAATCAGAATTGTGAACTTCATTTTCAGAATTGTTCGATCAGTATAAACCCGTGAACGTTGAATTCTGGCTTTTACTGTTATTTTATGCATCTTTAATCCAAGGCTATAAAATTTCATTTTACAAATTGGAAAATACCTGGATTATGATGTACACTCCCCTCCATCAGTTTGGCAACCTTAGCTCCCCCATTGAACTACGTGTTAAAGCCTCTTTACCTTTGAATTTTTATCTACTTAACCTGCGATGAAAATACTTGATGGAAACGTAATTTGACTTTATTTCCAATACCTCCAAACTTTCTCAATTTTTCCTCAATTACAATAAGTCGGAAATCGATGATTTTGATGAATTTTTTAAAATCGACATTCCCATGTTAACCAATGGGAAATGGTAGGTTTGCCGCAAGTCATATGACAGAAAATCCATCCATCCGAGTCTTTGCAAAAATTACGAATTAGGCAGGCAATTGAATTTGCTAACTTTATTTAACAAAAAATTGATATGTTTCTTCAGGTTCAACAAAGTTATAGGACTTTAAAGTAAAAGTTGTTTTTCAAAAAACCTCTTCCATTGAAATAACACAGGAGGCGAAAAATGATTTTCAAAAATGACTTTGAAGCGCTGTAACTTAAGTATTCATAAATAAACTAAACACTTGGTGTACAAAAAAGTTAGACAATTTAATTTTCTATATAAAAATATTTTTGCTGAATCTTTTATTGAAAAATTATACTGATTTCTGATTTGCCCCGAACCCTCCATTTCCCATTGGATTACATGTGAATGACGATTTTCAAAAATTCATCAAATTTATCATCAATTTTCGCCCTATTGTAATTGAGGAAAGAAATTGAGAAAATTTGGAGGTATTCGAAATAAAGTTAATAAATTATTTCATCGCCGGTTAAGTAAATTGAAATTCAAACGTAAAGAGGCTTTAACACGTAGTTCAATGGGGGAGCTAATGTTGCCAAACTTATGGAGGGGAGTGTAAGATATAATAATTTGTCATGCGTGGAACATTTCTCAAAATGATCTAATTGAAAATCTAGAATTATATAAACAGAGCATAAACTATGATTTAATGATTGGCGATCCGTGAAATATTACTCAAGAAGCAGTGAACCGAATTGAAAACGATGGATTATGTTTTATCACTTGGCTGAACAAAATGCATAAACGTTTTTGAATTTTGTTGGAATATTCTTTATAAACATGTCGTAGAGAAAACCTATCACAACCTTGGAACTAAGTAATTTTCCGATTGAGCTCCACAGAACGCCATAGACATGATAGATATAATATTCACACATAGCTAGTCAATCCGAACACAGTATTTCTTATAATTGCAGTGCATTATATCACCAATCTACGTATCCGAGGTCATTCCTTATGTGGTTGTTAAGGTGACAACTTGACTACACTGCTTTGCCAATCTGAACCCGACTGACTGACTGACTAAATTTCAATTGAGCTTCAAATAAATCACCATCTTTTTGAAAAATTCTTGTAGATATAATTGAAAGTGCATATTTCAAGAGGCTGGGGAAGATGTTAAATGTGTTTTGGCATTTTTGATCACATTGTACAACATTGCCTTTTCAGGGTATAAAAATTCTATTGAATGGACTTTTGAGCCAGGCCATAGAAAAAGGGGTCTTATCATAGATTTTTTCAATATTCTGATTTTTTGTTTATCTTAAAAAGCAAAAAGTCTTTTTCTCTGTGTTGCTTCATTCAGTTTGGTAAAATACAGTTGCCATCTTTAAAATACTATGTTTTATTAATTAATGCAACATGTCTGCCTTACAGGTAGTGTATTTCAAAATTGCGTATCCATGAAAAAAGGCCTTTATTTTTCTCCTTTTGTGACTGTAAGGTGAACACTACTGAACTGATTTGGTCCAAAATTCAATAGACTAGATGCGAGTAATAAAAAATGTTGATTTACGTCATTAAATATTCAAAATTCAGTCAAAGTTATATCACATTTGAAATCTACATGTAAAAGTACATCTACAAATATGATTTCGAAAATTGTTTATTAACTTTGAAAATTTAATTTTTTTTAAAATGTGACTTCTAGCTCGGGTTGATTCCCCATAGACCCCATGTTACAAAATCACAAAAAAAGAAATATATTTTCTTGTAGTGGACAGATAAAATTTTCTTTTACTGGACATATTTTAATTTACATAACAATTAGATACATAAGGGTTTTATGAAAATTGAACCACTAAAACAGATGTAATTTAAGTTAAAGGGAACATTCTACTATACCCGCCATGCTATCTGACCCGAGCGAGCCACCTGGTG